GTTGCTTTTCGAACCACTGAGGTCTCCCAACAGGGCGCAAGATGCTAGTTGATTTATTCAGCGGTGCTCCCTGACAGCAAACTATATGGGACTCCTGAACTTCGAAAGTATGACAAACCACCATTCCCCTAAGCCCGAAGACTTGAACCCTGAGAAGATAAGCCCCACTTGCTGCATAGAGGATTGAAAGGCCTGGGTTGTAGGGTGGCGTAGGCGAGTCTTTTGTTGCAGCCGCGTGTTTGCATGTCTGGCCTTACAGGACTTAGGTTCAAAATAGCTTTCGGAGTGCCTCTTGTTGACTTTGCGGACGCATAGCTAAGTTTGAAAATAAGGGGTTAGCCTGCGCACGTGAGCCCTAAGCCAGCATGACACTCGAAAGTTGCGAGAATCTTGTCCTGCAAGAGCACTACTTGTTTCTAAGCTAAGAAGTCGAGAAGCCTGTGAAAGTGTAGCAGACACCCTACACGGGCCAATGTATTGCTGAAACCCCTTCGCAATTACGAACCCTGCGTTGAGGATGAAAAACAACTTCTCTAACGCGTCGACCCCAAGCCGTACCTGTTACCCACCAGTTGTACCTTTTCAGAAATCTCACAGCATAAACCCTGTATGCAACACCCAAAAACACCTAGATCTTTGCGGTTCCATCATTTCAGGGTCTGGGACCACTGTGAAGTCGCAGGGTCTTTGGGAGTCGTTTCATGGGCTGAGACATTCTTCTGTGGCTGCAATGTAGTACAGGATCTCGTATACGATTCCCAGTAGATGGCCATGTTTTGCCAGTTAGCTCCGACAGCTTCCGTTTCATTGTAGCCCACAGGCTAAAGTAGGAACCTGATTAAGAAACTTTGGGCTTATAACCCCAAAATTCATATAAGGAACCCTAAAGGCCTAAGGTTTCTTAGCCGGGTTCCTACATTATGCCACTAACCTGCTGACATGCAGTTTCCATCACAACTGCTATGCACGAAACATCGGTCCAGACGGCGAGGTCTTGCACAGCAAAACCTTGCGAGCCTTTCATTCAATGCAGCCGAGCCTTGCTGCCTTGTTTGCACCTTGGCAGGCAAGAACCAAGATCAACCCTAAGCCTAAACCCTATAACCGCTACCCAAAATCAGGAACACTTGACTTTCGGCACCGTGGATGATGGTTACTGACTGGACTTCGAGGGCTCAGGACTGTAAAGGCACCTTGAGCATGCGACCTCTTTCCTTTTCTTCGCCGTCACAATTTCTGAAAGTGTCACCCCACCCCAAAGATCAGCTACCCGGTTGCTGTTGCGCGGGAAATACAGCTTTTGCCCTAAACCCTAAACGGTAAAATCTAAACCCCTAAACCCTAAACCGTAGAGCCTCTCATGATGCCAGCCCCTACATGAAGCTTGGGTTTCGGTTTTCGTGCCCGAGCCAGCCCGTGGGCCGCGAAAGGTCATCCGAAAATTTGGATTTGCCGGCATCGGCTCAGGGGTTAAGGTCTTATTTGGGTTTAGGCCATAAAGCCATAAATGGTGATGCACGAACCATCTAGGGTTCCTAAATTTGTGTCTACTATAGGACATTAAACCAATATGGAAGCCCCAAAATTGTATAGGTAATTGTTAAGGCACCTATAGTAGGATTTCCTGGCAGTTTCACCGTGTCGTTGCCACTTCTCAAGGAAGTTCTACTCGCCGCTGCACTCATCGTTGTGGTTTTCACGGTGCCCCGGCGAAGCAGCGACAGGAGGGTCTCGGAATATTCAGCGCCGGTAGAACGAAAACCCGGTCAATAGAATTAGGAGCCATGCTGTAAGACACCTCCGCGAGGAACACTTTTCGGAGCCACCTTGTATATAGTTTGGGTAATCGAATGCCCTCTGAAGCTCCGATTGAGCTTGCACAGGCAGTTGTTACCCACTGCACCTTCCAACCTGAGACTCACGCCGATATACCATGACCTGAAGGACTTAAGGCTTCAAGCCCTGAACCCTACTCCTCGCTAAACCGCCGACCCTATAAACCCTAAACCCTAACCCTAAACCCTAAACCCAAAAAGTTTGTGGTCAAAGTAGGAGTTTGTGACTCGGTAGCATAGCAGCAGAAGCTCTGGTGCCCCTTGCGTTTGGGGTTTGGGCTTCAGTGGTCACCTTTCCCGACCGACTTCCCAAGTCCGGATGCAAAAGGGTTCAGTGGTTCATCAAGTCCAGGTGTAAAAAAAGAGGGTTCAGTGGTTCAGGGTCTGGGGATTAGGGCCTAGGGTTTAGGGTTGAGCACAAGGTTCCTCCAATTCATCCTGGCCCAAGGAAGCTTTCCACACTTGCCCGTTCCTTGGTTTCGGGAGCCTGGAACCCTCGATGCGATCGGCTATAACTATGACTTGCTAGTCAAACTCTAGAAACTCTAGCATGCGCCGTTGGCCAAGGTGATTTGGTTCGTGTATCTTGCCCACTCAGCCTTGAAGGCTGACCTACGACCAGCTCGGCTATTTTTGGGTTGAGGGCTTACAGGCTTTGAGCGGTTAAGAGCTGGGGTTTCAGTTTAAGATCTGAGTCTTCATGATTTGCGAGACATCAGGCCGAAGAAGAAGAAGCAGCATGCCGTCCTAGGGGTTTAAGTTGTAAGGTTTCATTGACCTCTTTAGGACGGTTTGAACATGAGTTGGTGTGATTTACTAAAGCCTGAATTACTCATCCAAAAGCGAACCCTGAACCTAAATCCCAAAGCCCGAAACCCCGTCCTCGAACCATACATCGCGCCTGGATGTCCGAGCGTGGGCGCCGAAACATGAAGTTCCAACACCTAAACCCTACACCCCGGACTCCTAATCCAAGCCTGCAATCTTGGACCCTAGCTCTGGGACCTGGAACCTGAACTTGAACGTGACTTGCAACCTCTAGCCCCGCAAACCTTTGAGTGCTGAATTCAACTTCGAAATTTCCTCTATCCTTCCATACCCTGACCCTAGACTGTCGGACCCTTTCCTACCCTAAATCCTGCATTCCCGAAACGGTTGAGTGCTTAGGGTTTGTAGGCCTCGACTCCTCTCCTTGCTTTGAAGACTGAAGAAGCCGGGGGAAAGGGGGACTCTTGCTGTAACCGGGCTGCTGGACAACGAGGCCTGCTGCAAAAAAGGGTTTATAGGCCTGAATCCTGCACTCCGACAGGCGGAGCAAGCCTGGGGCTTGACGGAGACCGAGGATCTTAGCGACCGCCTTTGGCCTCAGCTGCCCAGTTTTCTTACCTTTGGTTAGTAGGGAATGGAGGAATGGGGTACAATTATAACTACTATTAATACCATTCTTCCATTCCCTACTAACCAAAGGTAAGTTCTTTTGAGGCTTCAGTCTGATGCTGCGGGCTTCGGGTAGGGTCCATAAGTCGACCTTATCCATTCACCCTGGACTCGATACACCCTGCACTGTAGGTACCTAGCACGGTAATTCTGTGGTAGCATCCATTGCGTGTGACTAGAGAGTTATATAGGCTCTCAAGCTAAACTACGACCTTGCGCCCTGAACCCCAAAGCATTGAATTGCCTGTAAACCCTCTCAAGCTCTTTGGAGTCCCTTTTAGGGGCCCTTATGATTGCGCGGGAAAGGGGGGCTCTTGCTGTAATCGGGCTGCTGGACAACGAGGCCTGCTGCAAAAAGGGGCCCCTATGGCAACCCTTGTAGGAAGCCACGGAGCAACTCGAGTCAGTCCGCAGCCCTAGGTCATCTTCGGCTCCCAAAGCCTTCAGCCAGGGGCTGAGAATGCGACAGCGGGTGATCCGTTTTGGGGTTTTGGGCTTAGTATGAGTTGAGTTAAGATAGCAAACTCGGATTTCGGATGTGAGGGTTGTAAGTTTGGGTACGGTCGGGTTGGAAACGCTGTCAGGGTCGTCAGTTTAGGGTTGTGGTCCGGTGTTGAGGATGGCAGTATATGGGAGAGCGGCCCAGTGCAATGCGGTTTCCATTCTCCGCTGCATGGGCCACTACGATATCTCCATGGAAGCCCTCAGTACAAAAGCCTCCTCAGTACACAAGCCTGAGACGTTGCCAGAGCGCTTTTTCGACACCAAGCCTGCAGAACGCATTGGACAGTGCATCGTGTCGCAGAGCCAGAGACCCACACAATCTTAAATCAATTCAGACCCAGACTTTCTCAGCCGCCAACTCCCTCCCAGTGAATGCCTCAGTCATGGCTTCAATCTTGAGCTTTGCCCTCAGCCCTCAATCCCAAATCAACTGAGGATATTATCTCCCAGGGCCTTATCGACGTTCTGTTTTTTGTGATCGGCTGCGGTCTGTTCGCCCTCGAAGGCCGAAACAGCTCCCTGAGGGATGTGGAAGTCTTTCAGAAATAAGGGGTTGCTAGTACATATCCCGTAGTCTTCATGTAATAGTCCTGTATAACCGGAGCTCAGTTCAATGTTTCTGACGTGGCGGAAGTGCACGGCTTCATTCTTTCGCGGCCTTCTGCCCTGCATTTCAGGTTAAGCTAACTAAGGGCCAATGAAATATTTCGTTTGAGCATAATACCACTTTTTCATGAAAAACCTCAAAGCAGCTCTTTTCGGAAGCGTCCTCGCAGTTTTATGTTGGATCATGTGGTTCTCACCCTGTGCGCGAGCAGGAGCAAGAGAAAGAGAAGGAGCAGGATCCAAAGAAATTACAGTGGAGATAAAAGGCCTCTCTCCAAATAGTAAGCGCACGGCTCGAGTTTCTATTCCAGCCTCCGGTTCTATATTCGGAGGATGGGATTAAGGATGTATGAATTCGCAGCTAGGACGCAAGGATCTCTGTGAATGCGGGCTCTTGGGTTGAAAGACCTGGCCTAGCTACCAGGTGCATGCCCAAAGAGCGAGCCATTCTTATTTGTATCGAGCTTTGCACCCTGAAAAGTTAAAAGTTATAGCAGCAACAAATGAACCATGAACTCGAACTTGACCAGATGCCAGAGGTTCTATGCATCCAAGCTTGCCAGGGGCTTGGGTTTGCTGTTTTCGATAGCCCATTAGGCGAATCCCCACTGTTGTGGGATGGAGCGGAAAGCACCGGGCGGAGGCGAACGACTCTTTCGAACATATCATGATCCGTCCGGCGTGGGCTACATTCTGGTGTGCCTTGGTTGTAACAGGTGTGGGGCCCAACGGTGTTTGATCCGCATTTTCAGATGCAGAGTTGCCGGGCTGAGTGTGAGCTGCCTTGACGCCCCATTGCACTACTGTCATCGCCGACTGCACGACCACATGTTTTGCATGCCCTTGTGGTTCCAGTTCTTTCTGTACCGAGCGTCCCAGGAGCTTGGAGCCTTCCAGTTTTGGCCTAGGGCTCAAGGCTTTAAGGCCTTGGTTTCATATTTGCCCGAGATATTGAAGCATGCAAGAGCGGCTAGGAGAGTTTCGCCCCACCCTGAGTTCTACAGTTAAGGGTCATTGAATGGGATGCAAGCGGCTTTCTAACCTAATTATGCATTGTCCCAGCAAGATGTCAACGTATGTCTACGTCTCGCTCTCTCTCTCTCTCTCTCTCCCTCCTGTCCCGAACCCCTTTCCGTTGCTAAGCCCATGGACCCCGCAACTCGCAACACCAAACTGGTTACCCGAAGACTCTGTCTTAAGTTTATGTAGGCGTCACAAACCACACGCCTTGGATAAATTCGTCCACGGGAGAGTGTCAGAAAATCGACGTGCTTGGAAACTCTGCAGAACTCAAAATGCAACGCCCAACACAAAACGAAAGCCCATGACCTCCCCGAAGCCTAAACCCTAGACTCCCAAACTCCAAACTCGAGACTCCCAAAATCCTGAAGCAAGGCTTTGCTTTCCCCTGCTGTTCGGCTGCTTTGCCGTACTGCGGTGTCTCGGCAAGCTGAAATCGACGGAGGTCTAGTTCATAGCAGCCATCGCGAGAAAGCCGTGAAGTTTGGGGTGTATGCGACGGCTTAAGGTTGATTCCAAACAAGATGGTTTCGCAAGGTGGTCTCACGGAATTTCAGCCGTTGATGCATGGCAGCGAGGGCCTGAATTTCGTAAATACCCTGATTCTGAAGCCATAAGTCATAAGTCAGAAGTCATAAAGATCCCTCCGCCTGGGTTACCAGGCGTGCACAATAAAAGCTATCTTAAACTCAAACCTTACGGACGGACTGTGCGCCCGTCAAGGTGTTCAAGTACTTATGTAATGTATGTATGTCTCGATGGTGTATGTATGTATGTCTGTATGTATGTCTGTATGTATCTGTGTATCATGCTTGTGCAAGCCAGTGTACCTTCGCAGGCTGGCAGAGTTCAAACTGTAAGCGCCAGGTACTACTTTACACAGCCTCAAACTTACGAAGATTGTCTGCGCGCGATAGAAACGCAAGCCCCATTCTATTCTGATTCTGTGCGCATACCCCAAACCCTAAACCCCAAAGCGTAGACCCCAAATCTAAACCCTAACCCCTGAACCCCTTGAAGCCTATCGAACCTGTGATCTGAGTCGGAATAGGATAAATCTCGATGGCACCTCCTGCAGAACACTCTGGCAACAGGTTCAATGCGCATCAGAGTTTATAAGGGCTTACGGCAGGAAACCACTTTTGTGCTGCTGGATTGCAACAGTCAGTTTGTGAGGATTTTCCTTGCGACGGCCCGGTGCCATCTGTGCCTCGGCAGGATCCGGATCCACAGGGATTTCCGGGCTTAGTGCCTCGAGGGCATAGCGGCATAGCGTCGTTTGGGAGTATAGGGTTTGCTTCAAATGAATGCTAGCCCTGTTCGGGGCCTCGTGCAATGCCGCCATCGTTAGGGAGACTGGTGTAGTTCGTATCTTGGAGTCACCGAAGTGGCTTCATGCAGCATCCATGCTAAGCAGTTTAGACCAAAGAGTACCAGTCCGTGCCGTAACTTCAGCCCAAGCCCGACACTCGAAACGCTCAGCAGGCAGCCCTGGAGCAGCAGACGGTTTCGGGTCTTCAGCACATGGTGTTCGGGTATGTATGTGCGTATATATATATATATATATATATATATGGGTGGTTGTCAAAATTAGACTCCCTTTTTGAGTGCCCTAAATATTAGGTGCCGTGCTATAACAGGGACCCCTCTTTAAGAGCTCCTAGATGATTGCTTGTAATGATTGTTCCAGAGACACGGTCAAACTCACCAGAGGTGTGTAAGGGCAAGAAGAGGGGCTGCGCGCTACCTTGAGTAAACAACCGACAGGTTGTCGCAACGCCAGACTTTCTTTTGTACAGGGCTGAGGCGCGTCGTCCGGCCCACAATCTCCCCGGACCCCGGTTGTTCCCTCCAGGTATTACGAGTCACTCCGCAATGGATTGCTCCTGAAGTTCCATGCTCCCTGGTCTTTGAGGGTTCAAATGGTTTGGGTTTTGTGTTTACTGTTTAGGGGCTTGGGTTCTGGGGTTTGGGGAGTGCTTCAGAATGGCCAAAGCCCAAAGCGTCCCGAGTACCTGCATAGCATAACGAGGGTTCTTATACCCGGGAATACCCATATGGTCTGGGTCAGTACACCCGTACCGGTACTTAGGATCCTTGGTAAGGGGCTGGCTGTAGTTTTCGGCGCCCCAAGATGGTGGCAGTCTGCCCGGCCTTGTTTAATTTTGTGTGCAGAGGTTTCAGGGGCCAGTAGAAGAACTCTGTGTGTTGAGCCGCACTCGAAGACTATAAACGCCGTGTCGTCAGAGGTCTAGCAACCAATTCTTCCCCAAAACAGCTGGCCCAAAGCACTAGAAGAAAGAAGGCTCAGGGCTTATTCCCTCGAGCTTGAATCGCAACATTGTAGGTTCAGTCTAGTGCGCTCCGGCCCTCAATGTCCACCAACCTGCAAACAGTTTCAAAGATCTTTATTATGAAAGTATTCTCGGCCCGGAACCCCAAAATACCCTAAACCCTTGCAAGGTTAGCAGCAGTCGGTTCGACCCCTTGGTGCTGTGGTTCTGGCTGGGTATCATCATTACCCTTGGTGCTGCTTTGAAGGCGTCGGCTTTGTCTTGGAGCATTGGGATTTCGGATGTAATGTAGGGCTTTGGCTTTCGATTTCAGGGGTTAGGGCATAAGGGTCTGCGTCTCAGCCAAGGGTTTACAACGTTTAAGCTTTGACGTTGGGAGTTAAGGCTCAAGGCTTTTGGGTGTAGTTAGCTTTGTCTTGGGACTTTGCATTTAAATTCAGTGCGTCTGGTTCAGGGACAGCGAAGAGACAGAAATTGGCCCGAACTCGTGGCAGCTCAAGCAAGGCATAAGTCTGCCTAGATTCAATAGCATGGGGTTAGCTGGGAACCTTGTGTCAGCGGTTTTGATGAGTCATTAGTAGACAGGTGGCACTCAAAACCAGGCACACATGCACAAGTCCAGAGTGTGGCTCCCGCTAATCCTGTCAAGCCGAGTCTAGGCCACAAGCAGGGGGTTATCGTATTCAGGGTTTAGGCCTTGAGGGGCTTGGACCGGGGTTCGGCCGAAAACTGACATGGGGCATGCCTCGATGCCCTAAAAGCCGGGTACCAAAGCCTATGGAAACGCCCGAACCATATGGCCGGGCCCTACATGCTAAAGACGGACCTGATCGTAACCCTAGAGCCTAAACGCTTACGTAAGTTCAGTTCGAACAAGTCTAATCTTCCTAAAAGCTATTCCCTGAACCGTAAATGTGCAAACTTCAGGGTGAGCGGTTCTACGGTTTAGGATTTCGGGGTTTAGGGTTAGGAACTAAGCTTCCGGGGTTATGTGGGTAAGGGCTTCAAGGTATGACATAATTAATTACTGCCGTAATGCTCCGGAGGTGGTATGGTACGAGCAGAGCACCTTCCTGATGGACGTGCAGGCGAATCCCGGTCTCGGGTTCTAGGGTTCTAGAGTAACGGCTTGCTTCTTCGCGGCATGATCGACTCGAGTCCGTGTGAGAGAGAGAGGGTTCTAGAGTTCAGGGTTTGAGGTTTAAGGTTCCAGGCCCTACCAGGTGCATTCCGGGCCTTACGCCGTTTTTCATGGGGTGTTATATCTGTGTTTCAGGTCATTCTTTATGGGGCTCTGTAAGGGCTGAGGTCAGCTCAGTTTTTCGCGGCTTTTGGGTATCAGGCCATGCTTCTTTCGGTACCGAATTGCAGATTTTGCTTGTTTTGGAAGCGAGGGGACGGTGGTGAACCAAATGCAGACTGTGCAAGGAGCTTTGTTGGGACGAACCAACCCAGCTCGAAATTCCTCCTCACAAGCCTCAGGCAACAGAATTGTCGTCCCCGCCTGACGAAACCCCATTGTTCCTTGCAGGCATTGGTCGTCTTTGCATCACCGATCTACTACATGACCTCCTCGATCATGGATATCCAGCACCTGGATCCGGAGCTGTCTCGGGTGATGTGGAATATTGTGGGGTGTTGAGGCTCAGGATCTATGGTTTGGAATTTGCGAATATGGTGTCTCATGGCGTGGGATGGTACATCTCGGTGGTAGTGCCTCGCTGTTCGGAGATCACGGTCCCTCGCAGCCTGCTCGGCCTCCTCCGCGGCCCTCTGCCTGGCCTCCTCCGCGGCCTTTTGCCTGGCCTCCTCCGCGGCCCTCTGCCTGGCCTCCTCCGCGGCCTTTTGCCTGGCCTCCTCCCCTTGCCGAAGACCTGCGGAACTCTGCTCTAGCATGGTGCAAGGCCCATCACTGGCAATTCTGAGACTTCGTGTCGTGTTTTTACTATTTGTGCAAGAGCCTCTCTGCTTTTCATCGATGTGTATCGATGTGGAATGCCCGCAATTATCGCAGGCTTGTTTATGGATCTGAAGTTTGTTCTCATTGGGTTTAGGACTTCAGGTTGCGGGTCCCATGGTGATGTACACCGGGGGGGTTGGACGGGCAAAAGCTCCAGGCTCCGAACCTCTATCTGCGGACCTTTGATACGTTGGCCTCGTGAGTTTTTAGGAATGCTGTTTCGAGGTCTAACTTCAGGGTGGGTTGGTTTTAGTTCCAGAGCTTCCCCCGCGTAACTGCATGCAGAGTATGTTGTTATAGCTTGGTGCAAGGAGGGGCTTGCAAGTTTGTGCAAGAATCGGCTTTGCAAGTTTCGACATGTGCGAGGTATGCAGAGAATACGGCGCTGAAGAGCGAGTGCATCCTGGGCTTGGAGGGCCCTTCTCCCGCACTTCTGATTGCGAGCTTCTTGAATTCTCATGCTTCAGATTTTACACCTTAAACTCGCAAAGCACGGTTCTAGACTCAAAAACCTTACAGGCTGCACTTAACGAAGGCCTCAGAACACTGGGTTTCCTAAGGAAAAACAACCCAGTCAGTGTGCAGTCAAGTGCGCTCGCAACGAAGGCTCAAGTGAAGACAGTTTTAGGGTTTAGGATGCTAGACTACCGTTCAGGGTTTAAGGCTGGTTTAGGTTTAAGTTCCAAGCAGAGGCTGTGCGCTCAGAGAACTGTTTTTGAGAAGCTATAGGCTTGAAATGGAGCCCGGGGCTACTATCGTTTCGGTTAGAGGCCGCCTCTTACTGTTCCAGCATGTCTCGTTGGGTTTCTGGCATCCATAAAATCGCCAGGAATCATGCTTTGAAACACTTGTTGCCAACATTTGTCATTGATTCCTACCGGAAGGCCCTAAGCCCACACACGCTCGTATCTGGCCATGTGCTTTTCCTAAGATTTTGCTAACTTCTTTGATAAGTCCGTCAGGACACACAGGGGGGGGTTGAAACCTAAAATAATGTACGCCCTCAGGCGGTATGATGCATTGTTCACAGGTACTTACAGCAATGGCATGGTGGCATACTGAAATGTATATAGGTTATATAAGCCGTTACTCATTGTCTCTCAAGTGCTTCAAGACACCATAGCTCTCTCAAAACAGCCTGATGTCCGTGCAAGGGCAAGTCATTAGGTCCATCGGGCCTTACTGTACCCAGATCCTTCCACAAAGGGTGGATACATATCTGGGGGCAGGGGGATGGGGAGGGGGGATGATAGCATCCGCTTTGATTCAGTCCCTGGAACCCTAATCCCTATACACTTGCCCCTGTGACGGTGAGTGCGGCAGGAGGCTTCAGGGTTGAACCAGGTATGGCTTGGCGTTGCCAATTGCGTAAGCGGGCCTTTCGAAAGCATGCCCAAAACAGAGATGTCGCGGCGCCACGCGGCCAAACGTGCGACCCCCTAAGCATCATACCACTTTCTCCACGGCACATGCCAAACCCTAGACCCTTGAACTCTTAAGCCTTACATCCCTAATCCTATACCCTTCAACCCCAAGCCGATAATCCCCCGACCTTAGTTAAAGCCTCATTCATGCGCTTGAAGCTTGGGTCCCTGGGATCATGACCATGCCGGAACCCCACGTCAGTCGGTTCTTCCAGGTATTTCGAAGGACGAGCCAGTGACTGTTGGTGCCAAGAACAACATCGTCCCGGTGCATGCGACTTGTCAGGTTTGTTTCATGTGCTCCACGGGTGAAGACCCAGGCAGCATAGTGTGTAGGTGGGGCCGCGGGCCTAAGCAGTTCGCTTTGACAACATACGACTTTAATCATATCCTTGGCTCAATCCTCCTTCACGAACCCACCTGTCGCGCAAAACCTTACAAACCAGCAAAATCGTAGGATCCTTTTGAGACTGGCGTCGCCGCTGATAATAAGGGAATTGACACACTCTGAAGAAGCCGTACGAAACTAAGTCTATTAACCATAAGCTGACCCTAAATCTGAAGACTTAAAACATACCTCAACCCTAAACCCCAAACCCCTAAACCCAAACCCGCACAATGTAGTTGGAAGAATCGAAGTACCTAAGTCTCTCTACAGACCTCGCCTGGTATTGCCGAGTGTGAGTGTCAGAAAAGCCCAAACCCGACACCGGAATCGCTGGAATCTCAGGAGTCCGTCTTCGTCTGCTTAGCGCGAAGTAAGCAGCCGGTGAACGCCACGTCTTCTTCAACGAGCGAGGCGGATGTCGGGTCAGGCTTTAATTCCTTCGGGTGGGGCCGCTTGGAGTTTGGGCTTCGATCTCCGAAACTTCAGGGTTTTCCTGGTTTTGGGGGTTCCAAAAGGTCTGGTGTAGGGGTCTCCTACAACCCTAGGGTCCACATGCGATCCCTTTGCCCCTCGAGGCAGGCCTCGAACTCATGCCTTTTTAAACAGAAACTTAGGTAATTAATCGTGTTATGTATGTTTGAGTTTTCGTGTCTTGAGTAGTAGTTACCAGAATACAGTCTCGTTCGAAAGTTTCTGAAATGAAGGGGCCGTCTTGTGGCTTCCGCGAGACGTCCACTTTGGCTGTAGTCGTTTCATTGTGCTCGTGACAAGGACTGGCGAGTCGGCAATGCTCTTTAGGCCTTATAAGCCCTAAATACCAGTCAAAGCACTTCTGAGCCACGAGACCTCGTCCTGCAGAGTCCGAGTTGCGAGAGCACAAACCCTGAACCGTAGATGTGAGATTGGCATCCATGAATGTGAACTCGGCCTGGTGAAGTCCGTGTCTCGCGAGCTAAAAACTAGACCTAAACCCCAGAACCCAAAACCCTAAACCCTAAATCCGGAACCCTACACCCTAAACCCAAACCCTGAAATTAAACCCCCAGAGGAGGTGCAACCTCATCGATCTTAGCGAACCCGAGCAGTCTCGCCTGAAGAGTCCGAGTCGCGAGCCAATCTAGAACCCCCCTCATCAAGTACAGGAGTCCTGCATATGAGGAGTCCTAAACCAGGTACTATGAGTTCTCTAGTTGTTTACTAGTTTACTATAGAACCCTAAACCTCCAGGGGTTTAGGATTTACATAGGGGAAATCCGGAAGACGCTATTTTCCAAGGTTTGCTTCAGATTCGATTGGCTTGCGACTCGAACGTGTTTGACCATACCCGGCCCCTATAAAACTTGCACGATGCCTATTTACCCCGAAGGGAAGACACAAGATTCTTCCTGTTGCGCAGCGACCCCATAAAGAACAGTAGAAATGTGGCAGAAAAGATCTTAACAGCAGCACAGCCCCTTCACAAGAGGACGCTTCCACGGAGCACCTTTCGGTTTCGGATCTGCGTTGGGTCGCCGGCGTTTCGCGGAGGAGCCTGAATTATTCGTGGTAGTGTTTCTTAGAGTTCCTTATCTAAACTATAGCAGACTATGACACAATTCCATTTGTTCAGGCCGCTACATCTGTGTGATTTGAGGCTTTGGAGGCTTTGGGGGGGGGTTGAGATTGGGGATGTGCGTACTGCTCTGTTGTTTGAGCATGTATGTATGTATGTATGTATGTGTGTGTGAAGAGACAATCCATATTTATGCGCATGTCCGATGTGACTTCAATGCCCAGCGCAGGTGTTCCTAAACACACATATTGACAGATCCTGGTCTCAGGCACAACCTGCGTCCGAATGATGCCATGTTGTCTTCGCTCAGCCAGCCCCCTCACACTTCAAACAGCTTAAATCCACATTCTACACCCGCAAGACATCTTGGCATGCAATACCTGGCCAGGAAAGCAACTGGTGTCAACCGGTTCTTGCTCCTGGGCATGATTTTTCGCTGCTGTTCTGCGCATCCTTGTCTGAATGTTCCGACTAAGGAATGTGGGATTTGGCTTGTCCGGCTTTTGGGCATATGCCTATTTCGGGGTTCCTCAATATGGGAGGTGGGAGCTCCACGTCTTAGGTTTTACGCTGCGTCTTTTTAAACATATCAGTTTGGCGGCGCGGAATTCACAGCATCGGTTTCCAAGTGCGGCTTGCTCCCGAGCATCTGCATGCGAGCCATCAGCCAGGCTGTTTCCTGGGCCATGGATGGATTTTCGGCACGCTGCAAAACCCCGAACAACCTGAGACTTCTTTTGTCAGAGAACCCCTGAGCCCAAAACCCTAACCTAAACCTTACACCCTGTGTGAGCGTCAAAACCCTGTAAACTGCTAAGTAGGAGGGAAGAAACCCTGTAAACCCGAAGCCGCCTGGGATGAAGCACCGAGACTGTGAGGGGGCTTGAAAGGAGGGCTTCAGAACGACATGTAAGATGTTTGTGGGCTGAAAGCTAGTAGTAGAGTAGGTAACCGTTAACCTTTATTTGGTAGTATAGTCCCCTTTTGACCCCTTTTTTAACCAAAAAGGTTAACATTTGGTTCCCCATGATACCCGACAAGTAGGTAAAGTCTATAAGTATCCTTGACGTCCAAGCCGTCTATCGGAGCCCTCCAGCCAGTTCTCCCAAACACCTGTAGTGTCATCAGCGTAAACCTACGCCGTTCAAGGTTCAAGGCCACAGCCCTAAACTCTGAACCACACCCCTGAACCCTAAACCCAAAAACCCTAGCCCTCAATTCTATGGTGAAGCACTAAAACCACCAATCCGAGCATCTTAAAACCTTATAAGCCTTCGTGGGATTTGGGCTTCGCTTCTAAGTTTGCTGCTCTTCGACCCAACCTTGGTCTGCACTCTGCTGCTGGGCTGCATCGGCAGATTTCAGGCTTCAGGGTTTGATGGCTTCGGGCTTCGGGAGGCTCTTCGCGGTCTTCATGGCAAGCGTCTGTGAGTTGAGGTTACAGGCCGAAATTCATCTACAGTGACTCCTTTGTATCGTGGCTTTCGCATCGGTTGTGCAGAACCCGATGATCAAGGACAAGTTGTGACGGGGCGGTACTGTCGCGCCACACACTCCGGCCATAAACCCTCCCCGAATGCCTCGGCAGACATTCTCATGGTCGGAAAGCTTGAGAGCACATGACTCAGGCGCTGCTTGGGTAAACGGGCTCTGCCCAGGAGTAGTTCGGTCGTTGGTGGGAGTGGTGCCTGCCAGCAGCAGTCGTCGGTGTCGTTATCGGTCCCACTGTCGTCATCGTGAGCACAACCACTGCATGCTGATCGGAATTTATCAGCGTCTTGCCTAGAACCTGAAGCAAGATGACGGAGACATGCAGCGAGTACTAGCCAGAACCTGAACTCTGGACTACACCCCGAACCCAAGAAAATGAATCCCTTATCTCCGATCTCCGGAACTCGCAAAAATGATCCGCGTCCTTACTCATCCGTATGTTCCAAGCCCTTAACCCCCTTCCTCAATGGCCAGCCTCCCGACCCCCCCTGTCCCTAAATGCCGTTAGAGGCTATGCCTGGCCATGCTGAGCTGCACTGTGCACCTTGCCTCGACTGAAGGGCTTGGGGTCTGGGATGGTCTGGGGACTGGGCTGTACCCAAAGGTCCAAAGGATCCAAGAATGGTACTTGGGTTTATTTAATATTGCCCAAAGGATCCACTAATTAGGTACTTGGGTTTATTCAGGATAGTAGTGATGTAGGTTACTACTTTGGAGAGTCTATGAGAATTAGGTACTTGGACACTTATGGTTACTTTGGACCACAGGAGAGCACAGCGTGTCGTGTTCTTCCATGGAACCGTAAGAGTATCCAAAGGTCAGGCTTATAGTGTTGATTGGGTTGAGATGGGCATTATAGGGTTTATGGAGCATGAAGCTACTACATAGGTAACTGGGCTCCAAGGGTAGAGTTTGGGGTTAGCTCCACAACCCTCCTCCCCTTCGAACCTGGCCCGAGGTGCTTTCGGAAGATCACCACCAAGCCCGAGATGCTGAAACTGGAGGTCATTGGTGGAATGCTGGCGACAGGTTCGCGTGCACTGGGTCTCGGGCGTTTCTGCTCTGGGCCTTAGTGTCCCGTCATGGGTGTTGGTGTTTTAGGATCAGAGAGTGCCATTGGGTCTGAGCTGTGGGATTCTGCAGGCGCAGTCCTTGTGATGGCTTTCTTGTCTTCTATTGGTGTACTCCTCTCAAACTAAGTCCTAGGCAGGTGGGTTAAGAGAAGACTTGTTTTCACAGCAGCCCGGAAGACCCTGCGATTCCTATGACAGTGTAAGTCCTTACAAAAGATGTTTTCCCAGTCCCACAAGTAACCTAGAATCTGAATCTGTATAAGGCCAAGGAACCTTAAACCTGTACCCTCTACAGCAACAGCTGAGTCCTGGACCTTGAGACCGTTGATAGCTCCAGGGCCAAACGATAAGCCCTAGGAGTCTGAAACCCAATAACCGTCCTGCAAAGAACTCTGCGCTTCACTAGCCAGGCTTCTCGCCACACATGCAGGACCGGTTGCTACAGGTAGCAGGGAGCATCTGAAATTTAGGGTTCCCCGTCTTCTTTCAAGAGGGGGGTGGGGGGTTGGGGGGGCGTTAGAAAGGTTTTTAGGTTTCATCCGGCCGTGTGTTGCGGACACTGAGTCAGGGTTTTTCGGGGCAAGGCAACTTAAGAAATCCGGTCTGCGTACGGCAGAGCTTGCTATGGCGTTCCAGATTGCCTTCACAGGTTGAGGTTTGAGGGCTGGTGGTGCGCCCCAACAGGCTTCAAGTGCCATCACTGAGCACGAAGTACTGTTCTGCAGGACTACAGTGTGTTTCTGGAGCGAGGCCGCACGTTTGTGGCGATCCATGGCCAGGTGCACGGGTGTAGTAGGATTTCCGGAGATGTTGGACTTGCTGTTGATGGTCCAGTAGTGGGCATGTTGAGTTGCTAAGACTCCCGAGCACAACTTGCGGAAAGAGGCCTAATTTTTTTTAAGTAATTTTGGGAAGGGGTCCGTGGAGGTGGCAACCCCTACCCCTGCACTCGGGCTGCTGAGGCCCAGGCATGTCAGCAGAGCTTTTCAACAAACGATGCGGAAGCATGCAGAGTGCAAACAATGCCTCCAGCGACGAAGAGCAACCATGCAAGCATCCAAAGCCTTCGAAGCCAGACCTCAAGTGAACCATGCCGCCCCCATGCCCACGCCACTCCAATGACCGGCCCAAAACACGGAGGACGCATCTCTGAGACTCTGAGCCTCGGTGTTTGCGCATGAAAATGTTGCGGCTTGCCAGGTCACGATGTACCCCCAAACCTTGAAACTGTAGGCACATATAAATCCTGAGAGCCTTAAATCTCACAACCTTTTGAGCCGAAATTCGCTGTAGTGCGACAGCCCATAAATTTCCAGTGAATCCCAGGTGGATGCAGCAGAAACGGCACGCTTCAGCGTGTCCCATGCCCTGATCAGTTGATTTGCAGCTAGGAAGAGCAACACGTATAGTATAGCCCCGTCTACCGCAAGTATTCCAAGTATAACAAGGCCCCTTTATGTTAATGGGTGGTTGTCAAAATTATGGTACCGTTTTTGGGTCCCTTTTAAAATACAGCACCTATTTTTTAGGGTACCCAAAAGCGGACCTTAATTTTGACAACTACCCTAATAACCCCTAGACTCTAAGCCCTCAAAAAAACCCTAAACCGGGTTTCCATCGCAGTGATTTCGTGTGTTCCTCGTTGCTGTTTCGAGCCCCGACATGCTTTGCGACTTTAGGGCATTAGTCCAGGTGTGGCTCTATCTATAGTCTCCATTGTAGTTCTACTTTTTGGTTAACCAGTTTTATGGCTGGGGTCCTATAATTATAGAGATTCTGGTTAACCAAAAAAGGAACTACAATGGAGACTGTAGGTAGTCTTTGTCACGCTACAGCCTTTCTTGGTTGACCCAAATTAAGGGTCTCAGGCACTGTGATGGGGGGGATACTTCCCCACATCATAGCCGAAGTAATTCTCTAATGTAGAAACCCTACATTCTATATAGATACTTAGGACCCTTTGGGGGTTGACGGGACCAAAGATGTTGTTGCGGACAACAGGCTGCTTCCATTGATGTTTCAGCGTGGCAATGTGTCGTTTTACTTTCGAGCGGCATGAGGGCTAAGGTTTATAGTGCTGTTGTAAGTGAAAGCAGACGGTATAGTGTTGGATTGTACCGGTTGGTGTCAGAGGGCTGACCTTTCCCGATCCAGCCGAAAGAAGACTTGCTGAGGCTTGCCGACGGTGTCGCAGAGGCCTGAATGGTACAACTTTGTAAGGGAAGAGTCCCCAGAATCCCTTCCTAGCCGCGTCGCCTGTCGGTAACAGGGAAGCCTGGATACCAGCTACTACATTCTTTCTTCGGCTAATGTTTGAGGATTTGAGGAAACTATATTGCCGTGACAAGCTGTCTTTGCTACATTGCAAGTCTGCTGTCGACTAATTTCAGCACTGTTGGGTTCTGGGGTTGAGAGCTCTCGCCTCGGGAGGGCTAGGTTTCGCAGAGTTCCGAGGGCGCCAGAGACTTTTCATGGGGATGATGCACCTAGCTCATGGTCTATGCAGGCCAACACGACGGGTGCAGTCCTCACGCAGGCCTTCATGGTAGACCATCAGGCCGGGAGTTGGAAATTCCGGCAGAGAATGCTGGACTCTAATGTGTGCCTGTCCTTGGTCTTCTCTACGGTGCTTTAAACCCTAATACCCTAAACACCAAAACGCTAAACCCAACATGAAGCGTTTAGGGGCCCTACCATCCGTCCGACAGTGACAATGACGTCCTCAGCCTCGCTCTAACAAGCTTCCGAGGACGCAACAGCTGTTCATGTTGTAGCACAACAAGCTAGGCTCCTGCGGGCTGGACATGAGTTTACCAAGGACACTGAAGGTAGACCTGGCGATACGTATGGGTACACCAAGAGCTCCACCTGTGTGTGTATATATATATATATATATAAGTACATATGTAATGTCTTGTCTTTTATCGTGTTGTGTGTGTGTGTGTTATGGTCTTGTGTTTCATTGTCATGTATGGTGCTCCATCGTAGTGTACTGTATTCCTGCTGCGGAGTATAAATATGACTTGAACAGACAATCAGATAATGAAGCATGAGTACGTGAGCAGACACGAGAGCAGCAACATAGAGTGCATATTATATGACCTACAACATAACATAAGATGCAAACTGCAGCTAGACGCAACATACCACACAAGTTTGATATCGCGATGTTCTGTACTGCAGTATATCAAGCCGTCACCGCACTGGCCTGGCTCTTGCCTGCTTCTACTGGGTCTCTCAGCCGGCCCTTTTTCCCTTTTTATCGTCTCAGGTCCCTGGGCCCTTTTGACCCCGACGCCCCAAAAGCTTAAACCCGGGCTTACTGGGGGATCCCAGTCTGCGACCCCTGAGCCGAAGCTTCGAGATGCGCAGTAGCCGTGAAGCGCTCTAGAGCTGGAAACCCTGACTCACTGACTCCGAAGAGGCTGTGCTAGGGTTTTAGGGGTTCAGGGTTTGGTAGAGGTTAGGGTCTCGGGGCTCGGAGCCTAAATTCTTATAGGGTTTGGTAGAGTTTGGAGTCCCTGGCAAGGAGAGGTATCCGGTTCTGCGGAGCTTCGTAGTGGCTGATGCGACCACATCCAACGATTACAGGCATTGCAGGGACCATGACCTGTCCGGTTTGGGGGTTTGCAGCTGTTTAGAGCTAGGCCTTTGGGATGAAGTTGTTGTCGTATTGAGGCTTTGAGAGGTTTTGGAAGTTTTGAAGTCTAGTGGCTTCAGCGGGCTTCGGGTGCTTGGTCTGGTAGGGTCTAGGGCTTATGCAGGGTTTCGAGACTTCGGGGCTTCTTGAATATTTCAAAGCTTGAAAGTCGAATCTTCGCCGCAGCATCTCCTAAAGCCCCACATTCCACCTCCCTAAGGGTCCACGTACGGTATATGCATCGACCCTACAGTACCTATGTAGGGGCTACTTTGGGCACATGAAGCCTCAGAGTGTGTCAGGATCCAGATGCTGCATACCGGCCTTCTACCCAGCTCTGTGAGCCTTCTTCGGCAATATAGTAGGTATCGGTTTGGGACCATTTTTGATTTCCCTTATTATTAAGTATAGATCCCCAACTATTTAAACAACCTGGGGACTGTTGAAATCCACACCTGGTATAGGTCAATGGGTTATAGGCTTGGAGATTTGATAGTCCAAGTGAAGGTCTCGGTTCGGTGTTGAGACGGTGAGCTCCTCATTACATCTCTTTACATCTCCCATACGGTCCCCCACTAGTAAAGTGCACAAGCAGCCGTTTCCAATACATCATTGTCACCCTCGCGCTCGCAGCTTGAACCGAGGACCTTGGTGGCTGAAACAACGACGGGGCAAACCTTCCGCAGATGTGTTCCGTGGGGCCGCACGACTGGAACTGTAAGCTCGTAGTTTACGGGTAGAAACCTTCACATCCTGAGTAAGTTCACTATATTGATTACGACACTCTGTAATTAAGGTGCCATGTTGGAGGCTTGGGGATATAGGTAGGCTTGGAATCTGTGAGTTGCTGAATATCGCTCAGAACCATTCTGATCTTGCAGGTCTTTGTGCAGGATAATTTGCATGGGCCAGATTCTTCTTGTTCCACCGGTCTGCTCCGAAAGATTGACATCTTTGTGCTTACTTTCTTAAGATAAGTCTCCCACTTTAAGGTTTTTTGGTTTTGGTGCTTTTGGGTTTAGGAGTTTAGGGTTACTCGCTCAAGACCCACACTCTCGAAACAGCACCCGGTCTCTCTGTCTCTCTCTCTCTCTCTCTCTCTCTCTCTCTTTCGCTCGTTCTCTCTAATCGGTCGTGTTAGGTGCGACTGTGGGAAATGTCAAGAAACCGGTAAGAACCCTTACAAGAAGTCTGCCTTTACACAACCCCACTCAAGGAATCCTATGGGAACCCGGTAACCCTGAAAGAACTTCGTATGGGAGCCCTTGTACCATCTTCTGCGACCCCATGGAAACCATGGAAAGAGCCCACATCAGAGCCCGATAAGAGCACTCATAAGCCCTCGACCTGCACCTGATTCCTTACAAGACATTGCAAAACCCCAAAGCAGGATTCTTGTGGACCGAGAACTACATCACACTTCCCGGCACTACTACCTCCTTGAGTGTGGAAGTGGAGGTTCTCTTGGGCGAGTGTGATTTGTGTTTATAGTGCTCTTTGGTGTTCTGTCGGACCCATAACTTATATGTTAGAAAGGGTTTAGGGTTTAGGGGTTCTGCCTCATAGTTGCTGGATAAAACCACTGGCATTTCGTCAGGCTCGCAGTTACAGGAAGCTTTTTTTGGGTTTAGCATGTAGAGCAGGATGTTGCTTTGCGGCTCAGGTTTTGGGGGGTTTAGGGTGTCTACACGTTTTGACATTTGGGGTGTTGGCCTCAGCTGTCGGGGCTTGAATTAGTCGCGTTTAGGCCAAGCTTTGGGGCTGGGGTTAAAGTGGACTTGAAGAGGTCGTGACTGGGTCCCTTAATATTCGCGCCAAGACAAATTAAATTCCCCCCAAAGCTTATGGCTCCAGTAGCTCCAAAGCCTGTAAGACGTGGTTTGCCCAGTTTGCTTTTATCCCTATGATGGGATCAGGTAGCAGAATCGTCAGTTTGAGTGCATTATCTGGAACCCATTCGCAGGGAAAGAACGTCCACAAAGCTTTTACCCAAACTCTTCAGTGCCTAAACGTCCACAACCTGCGCAGATGCTGCACTACATCGCAGATATACCATCTGGCAGGCGGGTGGTCGTAAGCCACGAACCCGACGTCGTCAAACCGAAAGCACCAAAACCCTCAAATCCATAACTCTAATAATTGCGGAAGCCGGCGAAACGGAATGGCTTCGAGTGTGTAGCGCTTGCACACCCAGTGCAGAGTTTCGGGTTTAGGCCTCTGAGAGTGCAGAACCATCATACTTTAGAAGCTGCCCCCACCCTGTAAGAGTGACTATGACAATAAGGATTATATTAGGGCCCTACTATATTGCTACTATACCACTGTTACAGGGTAGGGGCCCCTTCTTTCTTATACTCCAGCTGGGCTACTAGTCGGAAGGCTTGTTGGGGGCAACGTTCCACCCACTCCAAGTGCAGGGCGGTAATCAGGCAAGTGTCTGGGTGCATGCCTATGCTCGACGGTCTGAGGTCACATGGAAATTCCATTGGATGTAATTGGAATGTTGGTCTATGGCGATGTCGTTCCGTGCTTTTGGATTCTGGGCTTGGGTGCGGGTGTTAGTTTTGGGGGACATTCGCATGTGTTTATCGCAAAGGTCTGGGAAGATGACTCAAACAGGATGGTTCAGGAAGAACTCAGGATGCTTACGTGCGCAAAGCTGCTGCTGCCATACATTCTTGTGGCTGACACTTGACGCTGGAGATGATGCACCCACATTGCCAAAAACTGACAACTGCTTTCCAAAGTTGCATAGCTTCCATAAAAGTTTCGCCCTGAAGATCCGGGATTTTGAGCGAAGTCGGGGACATCGGCATGTCCGGTAATGCCAGCACTTTCAGCGACATACATCTTCCAGCCGAAGGGACAGCCAAGTGGGCATCTCTCTAGGTGTCTGTTGCGATCAGCCAATTTTCATTTGCTTGGCTTCGTGTTTTTGGACAGCGTGTGTGCCAGTCCGATTGGCGACAGATTCTCAACAATGTTCGTCCCAAACATGACGCAGGACCAGGGAAGAGTTGGAACATGTTTACGTGCTTCAACACTCGGAACCTGATTTCAAGTTGAGGTTGAGCATGCGCTGAATGTCTGTTTGTGGGAATCCTTGCCGCCAAGCTGAGCCGTCTTCGTATGTGTGTTTGCAGGCTGATGCTGACTAAGTCTCGTTCTTTGAGTACTGGCTTGTTCCAGGGTTAACGTCTTTGTGCTAATCGCCGTTGTTCCGCAAAAGGCTAAGCCGCTAAGCCTGGTTTTTGTTCATTAGACTTGTAATTCAGGGTTTGGGGTTGTGCAGTGGAGGCTCGAGGCTGGGGATTACGTGTTTCGGGATGTTTCGGGTCGAGGAGTTCGGGTGAAAGTTTCAAGTGTAAGCTTAGGTTCACGTACACATCATTGCATTGCTCAAAGCTCAAGTCCAGGTTCGAGTGGCAAAGGCATGAGCTTCAACTCTTCTTCTTATGTACAACCTACTACTTACTACCATATGCCATACTTCTCTGAACATATGTATCACCGGCTAAGTACTTACTACCATATGTTACGTTTTCTGCATCGACCATGTTTTCTTAAGTCAGTAGTCTCCGATCCCTCTCCCTGAAGGAAAAGTGTTCGCAGCTTTTCTATTACAAGCAGATGGTGGCAACCTGGCATACGCGCCTTTGGTAGTGATATGACTCCCCAATATTCCTCCGTGCGAACTGAACCGGTACGCCTGGAGAATGCTGGCTGAAGCGTCGTCGCAGCATGTGTAACCCAAGTGATTCAGCTCTGGATGGTGGCAGTTTTGGAGCACTTTAGGTTCATGGGTAAAGAAGCTTTTATGGTAGTTCATGGTCAGAAAACAGACACACTTGTCTCTCCGACTTATCTTAAAACAGTATACGACTGGCTTGAACTGACGCTTCCGAGCTGCTTAGCGGCGAGGGAATAGGCACGATGAAACTTTTCAGAAATAGAACTAGCTCTTGCGGCTATTATCATTGACTTCTTGCAGCGCTTTGGGTGGGATTTGGCCTTCAGGTTGATCGTCGTTGGTTGAAAGATAGTTTTAGCACAGAGACCTTGAATGCCAGCTAGCAAATCGGCTCTCCGTGAGACAGACAGGGTTCAGGATGCATCCTACCGCTTCACATTTGTATTACAGTTCGTGTCATAGGAGGCCAAAAGGGGGTTTAGCCTATGGGGGTTTAGTCGGGATTAGGGTTCCCATAGTAGGGTTCATATTAGGGAATCCCTACCCCAAGAATCTTAAACCCCCCTTTTGGCCTCCCATCATCGTGGGCCCTGATCGTTTGCGGCAGTCTTCCGTGGAGTTCCCGGCATCTTTTCGTAGCAAAGCATACACCGACGCGCCATCGCAATGGTGAAGGCAATGATACGAGATATGCTACACCATCCTGCTTGCGAGTCTCACTAGTTGGAATATTGCCTGAAGTAATGCCCGCCGGGCTCCCTTGTTTCGGTGAGACACTGAAGCGACACTGCGAAGAAATGCAATCTCAACTCAGGTGGGGGAGGGCACTCTGGATGTCCCAGTTCTTGCAGTGGGTCTTATTTGATGGTTGCATGCTGTATTCAACCGACAGAATATCTCTGCGGCTTTAGCAGACGGTGCCGACGGACCAGAACTAATCCCAGCAAGACGGGACTCCTACAACAGCATCAAACAACGACTTCAACGAAAACAGTTAACACCATGCGCAGCAACCACAACGACGACCGCGGTTGACCACACTCATCACCATCACCACCACCACCACCACCACCACCACCACCACCACCACCACCACCACCACCACCACCACCACCACCACCACCACCACCACCACCACTAGTCGCTTGGGGTTGCGTAGTAGAGGGGCCTAAATAATTACCTATACTATTTTTGTGGGGTGCGCCATGGGCCCCCAAACCCCTCTAGTAGTCTAGCCAAGGAAGCATGGATGCTGGGCCGTGGTTCAGTCGCTTATCTGGGTAATGTTTGACATCAACTCGGGTGCTCCCTACCAGCTCAAGTTTCGGAGTGACAAATACTGCCCAGGTCTGATGTGATTCCGCGCACATTTGTCCTCTTAAAACTAAGGGATTGCCAGTTGGGGCTTTTCAGCTCAGTACATTTTGTGCTGAGATTTATACGAAGCAACGAAACATGGTGTCGGCACTGTGTAGGGAGACCGGCGTGGAGTCTTGCACAGCCCTTTTCGCATGCAGTGTGCTGGATACCCCATAAGCACGGGGATACGACTTGCGATGGTGAGGCTACAGCTGCCCTTAAAAGTAGCACCGACCCCAGCACTTGTTTCGACGAAGGTCTACGGGTGTGTCATGCAATCAACAGTGTAGGTCATTCACAGGAAGCCGGCACGTGAGTTGATGGTGAGCTGCTTGCGTTGGAAATTTGTGAGTATGCTGTATGCTGTGCACGATGATATATCAGCTGCTGCGATGAACTTGTGGCTGCCGGAGATGTGCATCACTCCAAAGGGCCTAAGCAAGATTTTCACTGATTGGCATGTTTCGGGGCACTGGGGCACTACGAACCTCCAGAGGTAGGGGAATGGCCGCGACGCCGCTTAACCATGTTTACCCTAGCATGGTGATGCCTGCTTGCTACCTGGCGTCTATACAACACTCATCGAGGAGCTTGTAGCTTCATGCACTATGAATGGTGTGTTGTTGCCACATATTGTTTTGTTTGCACGGTGTCTCCATGAAGGAAGCGTGCAGAGGTGAGTCTTGGGACTAGACATGGAAGATGGGTTTCTGTTGATGGTAGAGGCCTTTGACCTCCAGAGGTCGAGGCAGAAGGAAAATTTAATTCGTTTGCATCCTGCTAGCTGCTTTGGGTATATAACCGCATGAACAGCGTCGCCTGGAGAGTCCGGATGCGAGGATGTTAACCCTAAGCCTGTTCGTAACTCTACAACCTCTAACCCCCGGCAAAACCTGAATCCTATAATCCCTGCACCTGCAAACCCCTAAACCCTACAAGCCCTAAACACTATAATCTCTGAGCCTTCAAACCGCCAAACCCTAAACCCGTTCGTAACTCTACGAACCCTAACCCCAATCTCTGAACCTTCAAACCCCTACACCCCCTAAACCCCTGAACCCCTAAACCCTAAACCCATAAACCCCTAAACTCTAAACCCCTAAACCCTAAACCCCAATCCCTGAACCCTAAACCCCAAACCCCTAAACACCTAGACCCTAAACCCCTGAACCCTAAACCCCTAAACACCGAAGCCCTTCAACCCTCAAGCGAAAGGCCATCCTGGGCGGCCTGCGGAGCTACGCGACGCCCCGCCTGGTTTTAGGTGTCTTTCGGGAGGGCATAGATTTTAGGGTTTAGGGTTAAGATTTGTAGGATTTGGGGTTTAGGGTCAAGGATTTTAGGGTAAAGGGTTTAGGATTTAAGGTTTAGGTTCAAGGAATTTTTAGGATTGAGCTATGCGGTTTGTAAAACTTTTGTGTCGAATTTGCGGTTGCATGTAATGGGTTAGCAGGGTTTTGCGCTTCTGGCGATTCTACACTGCTCGCCTATGGCTCGGCAAGGATGAAGAGAATCTCTTCCCCGAGCCGCAAGCACGGAACCAAACTTGAGATCCCACACCCTGAATCCCTTTGGCTCGTATAGAAGCACCCAGCTCCAGACACCCGCACTAAACCCTGGAGTTCTCGGCAGCCCTGCAAAATGCTTTTATGTTCTTCATAGATGGGATCATTATCGTCGATGTAGGGTTTGGGGTAAAGAAGTTTACCCGAGAGATCTTGCTAGTCGAATGAAGTCTTGATCACCAAGGATCTGACTTGACAGCTCAGTTTCTGACGTACACACACAGCATCGTCGACGGCAAAGCTTGCGTTGCTTGGCTCAAAAATCGGACACTGCCTCCTGACGTCGGGTGACCACTGTCGCTAGTGTAAAAATGTGACATTCACCGGTTGTGCTTCAGTCTACAGCTCTTCGGCACGCTAGTATCTCTGCAAAACAGAAGACCAAGTCCTTAGCCGCTCCCTGCCGCAAGCTAGTGCTTGGTGTGATCCCTAAACCCTAAACCCTAAATCCTCATATAATAATTTAAACCTTAATGGATTCGTGGACAAGGCCCGGCCCTGGCCTTGTCCACGAATCCATTAAGGTTGGTAGGAAGGGCCGGGCCTTGTCCACGAATCCATTAAGGTTGGTAGGAAGGGCCGGGCCTTGTCCACGAATCCATTAAGGTTGGTAGGAAGGGCCGGGCCTTGTCCACGAATCTATTAAGGTTGGTAGGAAGGGCCGGGCCTTGTCCACGAATCCATTAAGGTTGGTAGGAAGGGCCGGGCCTTGTCCACGAATCCATTAAGGTTGGTAGGAAGGGCCGGGCCTTGTCCACGAATCCATTAAGGTTGGTAGGAAGGGCCGGGCCTTGTCCACGAATCCATTAAGGTTGGTAGGAAGGGCCGGGCCTTGTCCACGAATCCATTAAGGTTGGTAGGAAGGGCCGGGCCTTGTCCACGAATCCATTAAGGTTGGTAGGAAGGGCCGGGCCTTGTCCACGAATCTATTAAGGTTGGTAGGAAGGGCCGGGCCTTGTCCACGAATCCATTAAGGTTGGTAGGAAGGGCCGGGCCTTGTCCACGAATCTATTAAGGTTGGTAGGAAGGGCCGGGCCTTGTCCACGAATCCATTAAGGTTGGTAGGAAGGGCCGGGCCTTGTCCACGAATCCATTAAGGTTGGTAGGAAGGGCCGGGCCTTGTCCACGAATCCATTAAGGTTGGTAGGAAGGGCCGGGCCTTGTCCACGAATCCATTAAGGTTGGTAGGAAGGGCCGGGCCTTGTCCACGAATCCATTAAGGTTGGTAGGAAGGGCCGGGCCTTGTCCACGAATCTATTAAGGTTGGTAGGAAGGGCCGGGCCTTGTCCACGAATCCATTAAGGTTGGTAGGAAGGGCCGGGCCTTGTCCACGAATCCATTAAGGTTGGTAGGAAGGGCCGGGCCTTGTCCACGAATCCATTAAGGTTGGTAGGAAGGGCCGGGCCTTGTCCACGAATCCATTAAGGTTGGTAGGAAGGGCCGGGCCTTGTCCACGAATCCATTAAGGTTGGTAGGAAGGGCCGGGCCTTGTCCACGAATCTATTAAGGTTGGTAGGAAGGGCCGGGCCTTGTCCACGAATCCATTAAGGTTGGTAGGAAGGGCCGGGCCTTGTCCACGAATCCATTAAGGTTGGTAGGAAGGGCCGGGCCTTGTCCACGAATCCATTAAGGTTGGTAGGAAGGGCCGGGCCTTGTCCACGAATCCATTAAGGTTGGTAGGAAGGGCCGGGCCTTGTCCACGAATCCATTAAAGTTGGTAGGAAGGGCCGGGCCTTGTCCACGAATCTATTAAGGTTGGTAGGAAGGGCCGGGCCTTGTCCACGAATCCATTAAGGTTGGTAGGAAATGGCCTTTTCCACGAATCCATTAAGGTTGGTAGGCACATTATAGTCGGAGACACTGCCAAAATAGTGAGGTTTAACGATTTTTGTTGGGATGTGGCTTGCGCAGCGAGTTTTGGAGTATAGTAGTGGCTTCTAGGGCTTAGGGCATGTTTGGTTGGCTTTTAAGGTTTAGGGAGAAAGTGTATATTTCCTAATGTTTTGGGATTCTTTGGGCGGGTGGGTTTTTTACTACTACACTGCTGGCCTAGTGATTTCTTAGCCCAGCTAATCGTAAACCCTAAACCCTAAACCCTAAATCCTAAACCCTAAACCCTAAACCCTAAACCCCTAAACCCCATAACCCTAAACCCTATGATGACTATAGACTCCCAGGGTGGATGGCCTTGTCACGTAGCTCCAAAGGCCGCTCAACCCCGAACCTCAACAACGGTTAAAGGGGAAAAGGAGGGACCCTTAATGGGGACCCTTTAAAGGGATCTATAGGGATTCTATAAGGGTATAGGGTTTAAGGTTTAGGGGTTTGGGGTTTAGGGTTATCAAAGGGGAAAAGGAGGGACCCTTAATGGGGACCCTTGCCCTATAATGGGCCATATATAATGGGTATATAATAGCTATATTCAGGGTATATACCTAGGGGTCCTGATTAAGGGTCCCTCCTTTTACCCTTGGAGTTTAGGGGGTTTTGAGTGATGTGCTGGGGGGAGCTCCAATCAAGCCTGTGTTTTAAAAAAGCAAAGCAGCTTTAGGGTTCAAGATGGTTCAGGGTTTAGGGATGAGGTGGTCCATAGAAGCTTGACTCTTCATCTTCAGGCCAAAGAGCATGCGAAAGCCAAGTCTGGCTGTGTGTCTTGGATCATGATACTCGTAATAAGCGAAGCCCCTGCTAGTTGGGTCGCAATTTCAAGAGCCTGGCAGCCTTTGGTTCGATCTTTTGTGTCAGGATAACAGACGGACCTATAGAATGCAGGGGCCAGGGGCATTATCCTCTAGAAGAGGCTTTCTGGGTTACTTGTAGGGGCTATTGGGCGTGATAGCCGGTTGTGTAAGACCTTTGTGGATGGTTGGATTTGGTGGGTGTCATGCTTTCTCGATAACGGTTTTTGCGCACCTTCAGTTCATCGGGTCTGGCGACATCCTCTCCTTGTGGCTCTTCGGAATCCGTTTTGTTCTACAGTATGCTACAAGCATAAATTTCCCCGGACTTTGGCATCTGCCGTTTAGGCTTTAGGGATTTAGTAGGGTTTAGGAACTACCGGGCGTCCTTGCGCGCAAGCCTGCAGCACAAGTGTTTAGGGTTGTGACTTCTGCGCTGAAAGCTCTTGACTTCTACCCTCATTTCACAAGCCCTCTCTTTCCCACGCAGAGTCTCCAAGCGCCCGCTGCCCACACGCCTACACCCAGAACTGTCGCAGGCCTGCCTAAGCCCCAAAAACCGCGAAAGTCTAAATCCAAATCACAAGCATCACTGCCTGGACGGCTCGCCCTACCCAGCAGCACTGCGGGAGGATGATGACCAAGGCCAAACCCGCAGATCTAAACCCGAAGCCCTGAGCATAGATTCTTGAAGCTGAACCTAAACATCAACCCCTACAAACCCTAAACCTAAACATAAATCCCTAAATCCTGTAGACATAAAGTCCAGAACCCAAACCTGGACCCTTAGCCTCAAGCGGCAGAGGTCGATTTGCAGGCCAAGCCTGGATCCTCCGTTATGAAAGCGACGCCAAGCTGATCCCTAAACCATTGGCTTGCCGGTGTTACTTTTGACTAAGGTCCCAAAGGCTCCATGTACCTTTATAGTAGATACCTAAGCCTTAAAAGGGTCTCTATAAAGGTACTTTAAGGCCTAAGCATAAACTATATGGGCACATGGAGCCTTAGGGGGTTTACGGGTGAGTTTTTGGGGTGCTAGGGGTTTGGGCTAAGTCCAGGATAAACGGCTTACGTAGGTAGAGTTTAGAACTCAGAGCTCCGGGGGGTGCGGTTGACAGTTGGGGTTTGACCCTAGCAGCCCATTACCCAGCTTAACCTATCTGGTAGGCTTCGATGTTGACTGGTACTTAGTCTCTATATCCGTGCGAAGGCTGCGTGATAAGATGATAGGCAACGGGGCTTCCATGGACTACTGTGACCGTCACCACCCTCATCAGTGCGGTTGCTGCTGTTGGTTATGAGTAGTCTTACTCAGAAGTTTGCTCTCGACAACTTTATTAGTGATAGCACTCACGAGTCATTGTGATGCCGATGTCCAATGCTTGTCAACGAAACTTAGTTTCACTAAGACGTCGGGACTCGAGGGTCTAGGGCTGTGGCAACTGAAGGTTTACGGTGTAGGGTTTAAGCACTGTGCCATAGAGGATTGCAGTTTAGTAGGGCTCAGGCTTCAAAAGACGCATAGTCTAAGCCATGTCAGGCCCCGTGCTGTAGAGGCAACCCCATATCCAGAATTGGAAACACCAGACCCTGATGATTGTTTATAGCATCCCACACAGTCGGATCCTTATCATGGGGATGTTTTGACTACTACAAGGCATTCCTATGTAAAAGACCCTCCCGATCTCTTGATATTTGGGTTTTGGAGCTGGCTTTTCAGTAAATATCGTTCCGCAACCCAAAGGCGCGATCCTCAAATCATACGGCCTCACTGATTTTGGCAGAGCTGCCGTTTTCCTTCGAGGTTTGCCCTATAAGCCCTATAAACCTTGACTGTCCTAGCTCGTGAGGCTTATGATTTCAGATCTTTTCGTCCGGGCTCCTTTAGGGGGAACTCCACGGCTTTGAAGCCGCTGTTCGATTACCCACAGCCTTTGCAAAGAGAAGAACATCTGAATAGATTTCCTGGGGCAAGGGTTCTGGCTGGGCTGAGGGCTGGGAACCCGGGGTTTAAGTCGAAGTTGAAGAGAAGAAGAGCAGGGGTGGATGCCAGGCCTGATTACATGGTTTGCGTGTGCAGGCTGGCGCCCTGAACCCTGACATCATGCTGAGAACTCACATTCCGCTTTTAGCCCTGGACCCGAGACCCACACCTGGCTGAGGAGTATCACGAGCTTCCTGCCCAAAGACGACTACACGGACGGGCTGTGACAGAGCTTACCAAGCCCGAGCGACATGAGCACCTACCCGGAGTTTGACTAGCGCTTCGTGCTGGTAACTAGCCACTTGCAGTATAGAGCCGCCAGTGAAAACTGTTCCTCACCGACAAGCCCGCTATTGCAGTTTGTAATTTGGTTTGGGAAGGCTGAGTTTTAGCCTGGGCACTACCGTTGCAAATTAGGCTGGGCATCAGGGTTTGTGACCATCATGACCTGTTGTCATTCGTCGGTAAGAACCTTGGTCCCTGGAGGGTCAAAATGTCTCAATATATCATCAAAGCGCAATACTTCGAAATTTGTGAGTTCGGGGTGCATAACGTTGCGGTGTGTACATGTATACTGTATACTTGTCTGTACTAAAACAGGTGCATTTAGAACGTATGGTCTCTCTCTCTCTCTCTCTCTCTCTCTCTCTCTCTCTCTCTCTGTCCATGTATCTGTGTATCATGCATGCACGTATGTATATGTATGTATGTATGTATGTATGTATGTATGTATGTGTGTATATACTAACACCATGTATGCAATACCCGCATGTTCATATATATGTCCATACAGCATAGACATCGAGAGATAGAGAGCGTGTGTGTGTGTGTGCCTGCTTCAGTCGTACAATACTGTATGCTTTGTACCATTGCGCTGGACAGCCGTGGGGCAAGTCCGCAAGCACGACCAACGAAGAACCTGGGAATGGAGGGATATGCTCGGTGCTAACGCTGGCAGAAGAAGCTAATGCGACATTGTTCACTAAGCGGTATACTAAACCGTTGCACGCTACTCGCAGGGCTGTTCATGTTCCTGCCTTGGCAGGAGTTCTCAGCTTTCAGCATCGAGACGCTGGTTCATCAGGGAAATCTCAACAAATCGACCCTCGGCAGCACCGCCCATGAAGCTTCGTTCCCTCCCTGTCTCACCCTCCCTCCCTCCCTCCCTCCCTCGCTCTCTCTCTATCTCCCTCTCTCTTTCTATCTCTCTCTCTCTCTCTCTCTCTCTCTCTCTCTCTCTCTCTCGCTCTAGCTGTCTCTCACTCTCTCGCTCTCTCTCGCTCTCGCATATTCAAGTGAGTGTGTGTGTGTGCGTCTTTACAAAGAACTACACGAGCAAGTAGATATATAATATGAAAGTTTTTAACTATATGCATGTATTATGCATAAACGGCGAGTCTACAGACAGACGTACAAAACACATCACTACTAGCGCTTTACATACCTGCAACATGCAAAAGATCAAGATCGGGCGATCCTCAAACACTTCCCAGCCGCTTTAAAGAGGGAGAGCTGCGGAGTTTCTCTGGTGTGGGTATGCCCGTATCTCAGTTCTACTGTATTTTATTGGCACTGGGCTTTCGGGCCTGATGCACCCTAGTCCGTGAACTGCGAAGCGTGGCAGGTCGAAAGAGGGGCAGACTTGAACCCTTCAGTGACTTAGGGTTTCAAAGTGTTGATTGAATATACATATATATATATATATATAGAGAGGGTTTCGAGCGAGGCCCGGACATCGCAGGGTAAGTTGCCTTCAGACCGATTAGGTTCTAAGCCGAAACCCTAAGGCATGTCTGAAAGGGTTCTCCGCGCCCATCTGGAAGAATGCACCCCGGGTTTTAGGTAGGGCTTTGGGTTGGGGTTCAACAAAAGGTTTCAAGGTTTATGTTAGGCACGAAAGACGGCATGTATTCGCGGCAGCCGAAACCTTCAAATTCCCGCGAACTGAGAACCAGTTTGAGACTTTCACTAGCAGGAACCAAGCTAAGCAAGTCCCAATCATGAGGAGAATTGAACAGACGTCCTGCACCACGACTTGCGACTGGTTCTGGCGGAATCACCCTGCCATCCGAGGTATTCACACATGTCCAACGAAGATACCTACAACCCGACCCAGGCCTTCAAGCAGTTGAGGGAAAGGGCATGCTTCCAGAAGGGTTTCGATTCTGAATCTGGGCGTAGTCTGCAGCTGCAATCCGCAGCTTTAAACACGCTGTCAAGCCATCGCATTTCTGCATATGGGAGTTTCCGAAAATAGGGGACCCATAGTACCCTAAATAGTTGGATCCTTCATAATCAGGACCCCAAATAAGGTACCCCCTTGTTTTCGGAAACTCCCAGATGGTCTCCAGAACGATTGTTGGCCATGCCAGACCCCGCACCACAGGGGTACCCAGAGACTCCAATATCCCTTAATTAAGGAATAGTCCTTAAATTATAGTAGGATCCCTAACATGATTTAAGGAATATTCCTTAATTAAGGGATATTGGAGTCTCTGGGTACTTCGGAAAGGTACGACATGGAAGGCACCAGACAAGGGAGGCCACAGCAAGAAGGAACAGATTCCAAGCCCGATATCTCAAGGCATGCTAAACTACCACCCATAGGCCCCAAAGTAGTTCCTTTTTGGGATTATCTTTTAGGATTCTATATATGAACCCCCAAAAGGAACTACTTTGGGGCCTTATGGTACCGCCAAAGCCGGGCCAATACAGCTATGCACGGTTTGAGAACGGGACCCAAAGTGGAAATAGCACCTGACCGAACGGCTTGGAAAACAAGAAAACAGCAATGAAGATGCCAGCGACGACAGATCACTTCATGCAGGCAGCAGGCAGGGAAAGAGAGGAAGCAGGTAGCAGAAGTATCAGTAGCAGTAGCAGTGGCTGCGGCTGTGGCTGTGGTTGCAGTAGTAGCAGCAGCAAAAACGGCTTCCTAGGCCATGACATACCCTGCAGAGTCTCAAGTATCCAAAGCAGAAGTGTGAAGCTGCGCAGCCGAACTTCAGGGCATCCGTCTGTCGTACAAGCCGACCACCAATTACAATATGTTCGTGGCAAGGCTGCGCTTTCGAGAGGGTTTCAGGACGCGGGCAGGTGTACAGTGCTCTTGAAACGTAAAGAAAGCGACTGAAAACCTGGACGTGAGCTAGCCCGGAAGCCATTGTGTTATCAGATTTCCAGGATCAAGTCAATTTGAAACCCCTGGCCCAGCCCTTGATTTTTCCGCTGACTCCCAATCTCCGACAGTCCTGAAGTGGCCCAGTCTCTCCACTCCATCGGGTAAGCTACCCTTGTTCGGGGCTCTTCTTCTAAGATGGATCCTGGGGTAGATTCCCAGACGCAGGTTCCTCGCTTGAAGGAACCCCTAGAAGGGAGAGCGAGTTCGCAGGAAGGGCTCGAAAGTCACATGCTCATCTTCAGCGAACTTAAGGCCTAAACCCTATAGCATCCTAACAGCAGCTCTACAGCGTCCCAAACCGCAAATCCCCTCAACCCTAGAGCTTCTTAAGCCCTAAACTCTGGAGTTTCCTAAACCCGGGAACCCTGCATTTTCCTACACCCTACAGCCTCTAAGTTCTAAGACGAAAGTCCGATAGCCTGAAGGCAGGCCTTAACTACAAGGAGGCTAGGGCCTATTCCCGGCATCTGAGGTTTGTTTGATGGGTTTAGGAGCCACGGCTGGGTTTTGTTACAGGCTCGCAACTTAAGACTCTGGGGATTCTAGAGGGTTTAGGAGTCTTGGCCTTGCGTGTTGTGGCGGAGGTTGCTCATGATCCCGCGAACAGCTAAGAATGAGTCGTCCTGTCCTGGAACCTTATGCTGATAAGGCGCAGCTGCAACTACCAAGTTGGTGCTGGTGTTCCTAAGGGCTCGCCAAGGTTCAATCAAACTTGAACCTGCCTGAATGCGCCAATCTTTCCTTCGACTAATGCACACTCGACCCTAACCTCTAAAGCCAGTTATGAGTCTCCTAAACCTCTAAACACTGTAAACCCGAAGCCCGACACCGTCAGAGCCTAGATGCTCAGGTTGCTTACGGCTTCATTCCCAACGTCACGGCCGGGATCTCAATCTCGTGTGATGCATCGGGTTGAAAAGGCGAGGGCTTATAGAGATCCGCGGAATCTCCCGATATCTCTATTCTCCGTGAGGGACTGTTTTTTTTTGTACAGACCGTCATGAGACAAAAAGCATACTGCACGGATTCTAGAACAATCGCCGAACAAGTTCGAGAGTCGAGTCTTCAAGGGGGATATATGGGAGCTTGACGTCGTAGTGTTGGGACCTCCTATGTCCTGCGAGGGCAGGTTTCCATGCCATGGTAACTTCAGCACTCCTGATTGTGTTTTTGCCATATTTGTGCAGTCGTGTTTTGGTTGGCTCGGTGCTATGCTTTCTCCTAGGCCAAGAAGACATTTTGGCTCGTCGCTGACAATACCATCTTGTCCGCGCGTCTGCACAGGCCCATTGAGTCGACGTCATGCGAGTCTTCCGTACACCAAAATCCACTTCTGACATGGCTTCACGGTCTCAAAAGGGCTCTCTGGTGCTTGCTTTGAGGAGCCATATCACCGCTTAGTCTCTTTATCATTCTGAATAGTAAGCGCTTCTAAGTTTCATCCTTGTATCATGGTTTTCCATAATGGGTTCCTGAGGCTTTAGGGAAGGGGTTTTGGACTTGCGGGGTTCAGGGTTATGGGGTTTGGTTTGTATGCGATACTTTTGAGATTGTGCGGGCTTGGTGTGTTACGGCCGCGGTTCCTTGAGCCCGGGCAGCCCCACCGAACGGAGCTCACGTTTTGGGATTCACTGGTGTCGGATTTTGGTTTCTGCTCATCCTACAAACGGGCTGTTTCGCATCCAAGTCCCGAGCATTGAACGCATCTCCTACTTATAAGTTCATGACAGAGAACCCAGCCGGAGATTCCTCCAAACACCCGGAATGAGAAATGCTCCTGACGCCCTGAACCGTGAATCATTCGAGACCACACTTCCCGAGCCACAACATAGAAACAAACGTTAAAGTTCGAAGACCCACCCCACACCTGAAACTTACGGCTTCGTTGGTTGGACTAATGTATTCCAGCCCCCCTTTGTTCAGCTGGTGGCTGCAAGAAGACGAGGTCTGGTCGACGGGCTTCGACTTCGCAGCAGGAACGCCTCGATCGGTGCGAGATTCGTCTCAATGCCTTCGGCGGTTTCAGGCTTTAGTTGTGTAGGGCTGTAGGGTGTCGCATTTTAGGTTTTACTGTTTTCGGTTTCAGTTCCTGCGGATCCCGGGTTACTTGCATGTCAGCTGCGGAGAGCAGCGGCGAGGGTGCCGCTACTTTCTCTGTCCATGGGTTGTCCTTGTAATTTCGCCATACCAGGAGCGGTCACTTTTCGAGAACGCCATTTTGGATTGGGATTGCTGTTTTAGGGGCGGTCTCGGCATTTGCTTCATTCGGGTTCTAGACCAGCGTTGCTTTTACGGCGTGGGGAAACAGGTTTCGGATATTGGATGGTCCTCGCATGACGTGATTTTGGACTTTATGGAAGAAGCACCTCGGGCTCACTATGACGGGACCTTGTTTATTTTTCGAGCCCCCTAAACCCTGCACCCTCTTTGCCCTCAGCCTACACTTCCCTAACTGCCCTGAACCCAACAAATATGTCTCGACTCCTAAACTCTATAGTCTACAACTATAACCTCTGGGCCCTGGATTCTGTTGGTTTCAAGAGGGATCTGTGAATTTCAAGCTCGAGTTTCGGAGCCTCGGAGATTACTCGTTTGGTGTTTTTACGGCGTATAGTGCTGATAGGACTTGTAGGGCTTATAGGGCTTCTAGAGTTGATACGGTTTTCAGGGCATAAGGCTTACAGCAGGGTTTATAGGGCTTCTAGCGTTTAAAGGGCTGATTGGGTTGACAGGGATTGGGGGTTTAGGTTCAGGCTTTGGCATTCTTTTGGGGGTGGCTCATTCGCGGTTCCATGCTTGGTGATTACGCACATGAAAGGAAGTCCCAGCAACCCTAAACCGTAAGCTCAAGCTGCATAGACTGACATCCTGCTTGGGTCTTGCTAGATGACCGTAGCAGCCATGCAGCCTTGTATAGTAGCCGTCTAGCGGAACACAGAACATGGTCGCAACAATGATCAAGAAACATGCAGCAAGAGTGGCGAAGCAAGATCCCGGACCTGAGCCATACTATGTAGCTAGTCAGGTGAAGCCTTTATTTCGTAGCCTCTGCCAAGTATTACAGTCGTGTCAATCACGCAGAGTGCGACCGCAAAGCCAAACCAGACTGTCTGAGTGTCGGAAACGCCGGAAAACGATGGACTTTTGACAAACATTGAAACAGTGGGATGATGATCAGAAGGATTCCCAAAGGAGGATCCTCACTTTTTCAAAGCCCCTCCCTTACACAAACCCAAGAAGAGTGAGGTATGAATGGATGGCAGGGCGTGAAGCCATGGGTGCTGCACGTTTTTGACTCCAGAGCCTTCGTCAAGGCTAAGCCCCCGAAGTCGTGGGGTTCAGGGGTATGGGCGTATGTACGTAGGACCTTTGGGGTCTGTTTGGGATTAGCCTCTTCCTTCACATAGGCGTATAGGGTTTAGTATGTCGAGTCTGGGTGTTGATGTTAGGCCCTTTGTTATTCCGCACCCCTCCTGCCCATACAATAAACAATCTGTGCCGACGACCTGCCCAAAGTGCACGAAAAGCGAGTGTTTTGGGGGTTGGGCAGTTTGCACTACAGGAACCAGTATCAGTATGACGAATACGTAGGTTGCGGTCATTCTCTGATCAGCAACAACACGACCACGATTGAACGCCACCATCACTTCCACTACCATTGCCGCTGCCACTAACAGATCCCTACCACTGCCGCTGTTACTATTTCTGCCGCTGCTCCTGTTACTACGATTGCTACTGCCGCTGCCACTGCTACTGCTTTACTGCTATTGCTGCTACTACTCCTGCTACTACTGCTGCCGCTAGTACGAGTAGTACGAGTGGTAATAGTAGGTAGTGGTAGCAGTAGTAGTAGTCGCAGGAGTAGTAGTAGGAGGAGGAGGAGAAGGAGGAGGAGGAGGACTACTGCGACTATTACCTCTACACAAAAGCTGCTAGTACTGGTACAAGCCTTTCCTTGCTACCCAAACCGCAGACTGGTATGGCCTAACTCCCAATACTTCTCACTATTAAAAGAACGGACTTCGCCTTGAGCCACAACCTCAAAGCCGCTAAGAGAACCGATATCCTAGCCCGTACGCGTACATGGAGGCGGAGACCATGACAATCCTCATGATATCCGGGGACCTCGATTGCTCGATCTCGTCGGCAGAGGTAGCTGCCCCAGGGCTTCCGGGCACTCTTTTCTACTATCCAGCTTAGGGTTTGTGGACTCTTCAAATTTTGTTCAGGGCTTCTCAGAGGCGAGTTTGGGTGTCAGGCTTTTCAAGACACTTCTTTCTGCGTTGCTCGTTTATGATGCATGTCGCGTTGCAAAATATGGGACTTATGCATGTGAATCATAATCATCGTCCTGGCAATATAGTAATATTGTCATCTAAAGCCTAGCCTCTGAACCCGTCACACCGTGTCTGTGATAAAGAAGGTTTAGGGAAACACAAGGGCTGAGCCTTTACTCTCCAGACTCCCATGCTTTCATCTCCCCAAGCATCCGAAGGCCATGTCGAAAATCCAAGCCCCCACGATGCTTGTAGGTGCCCCTAAGGATCGGGGTTAGGGCTTTACGGATTTGAGCTGAGGGAGTTTCCAGGCGCTGAGGCAAGCCAGATCAGAAATTTGACAAGTTCAGGTTTTGGGTTTACCGGAC